GAATTGGTGCTGGATCATAATAGTAAGTGTGAAGCAGGAAATTGTTAAGCATAAATGTGAAATGGCGCGTAAATTTATTTTATTATTCTGTTTTTGTTTATTCCACTTTAGACAAGCCGCACAACCCTATGATCAATGCGGGCGCCATACTGACCTGCTCATTGCTGCAGGCTTTAATTAAGCCAGATATGACAGCAGCTGAAAAGTTCGACTACACACTGCAGTGGTTCAAACGCTTGTCGGGTGGTGAAAATATTGGTTTCAATAATGCAGTGTTCCTGTCGGAACGCGAAGCTGCCGATCGCAACTATGCTTTGGGCTTTTATATGCGCGAGAATAAATGCTATCCAAAGCGTACGAATCTCAAGGAAGTGATGGACTTTTATTTCCAGGTAAGGCTGGAGAAGCATATGTATCTACATATATTTTACTGATAGTTAGGAATAAATATTCGTAAAATTAATTTAGTAAACTGCCTATTTCGGTTTATCCATTACTCATTCATTATCAAATTTCATATGGGGCCCGCCATTTTGAATATTCCAAATCTGACTTCAGATTGGTAATCAGCTACCCCATAAACCCCTTTATATACAATTTCATAAAAATGTAAACTTTTTTTTAAGTCATCCGTAATTTTGAATTTTCCAAATCTGAAATGAGATTCGTAATCTGCGAGCCCAAAATCCCCTTGTACGAAATCGCATTAAAATCGATCAGTGGCTTTTCGCCACTTTTATGAGCTGCTGGCCAATAGTGTAGTGAAATTAATACCGTGTCATAGATAGATAGGTAGATAATTCTCAGGTTTCTAGCTTTTAACCCGAGATTGCAGTTTTATAGTTTCGTTTCGCTGTTATTTATGTTTGTGGAAAACAATAATAATTTACAAAGGTAGAAGTTGCAAGGAAATAACCACATCTCCACATCAGGCATCTTCATTAAGCTAATCGGTTTCCTTTAATCTGAAAAAGGCATGAAATGTTTAGTATCTCCATATCAATATTTCAGAAAGCAAAAGAAGCGAACAAGTTCGAATAGAAATATTCATGTTTACAAGGGAAGACGATATTATAGAATAGAGTATATTTTGCTTTGCTGCTTTTATGCTTAAGTGCACATTTCAGATACGTACCCCAAAATGTGCATCAGCGGCATTATTTTTAACATTTATAAGGAAACTGCTCCGATAGATGCATTCAGCTTACCTGCATTTTTTTTTTATAACATTTTATAAAAAGTAGTTTGGTGCCCTATTTTAGAAAGTCTCGAAAATTACATTTGGGAGATCATTAAAGGGTTAAAATGTTCTAAATAATTGTTCGGCAAAAAACTTGACTAGGGGTATTTTCAAACAAAATCTTTTTACAAAGAACCACTAGTCCACAGAAAATTAAAAACTAATATGGCTAGCTTAGAAAGAAAAGTTGCTAAGTCCCATTTTAAAAATTTTACAGGAGAGGAAAAAATCTTCCTATAGCCATTTTCTTTAACTATTTCGCAAGACTTTGAATCAAACATATTGCGCGTTTAAAGCAAAGCAAAACTCCATAAGAATCAGAAGGTTTCGATATTTATTAAAAGATGTCGTATTATTTTGGCCTTATCGGATTTGCGGTGCTTCTTTTGGACTTAGCAAGTTTTCCTTTTATTGCTTATGAAGAGGATAAAATAAAACAAGTACCTTTATAATTTTCGAAACGATGCGTATTCAATTTCTCTAGCCTCCTATATCAAAATATGAGTTTTCATTAAAAGTGGACTTAGCAACTTTTTGCTCTAAGCTAGCGATATGTCCCTTTGAAATATGAAACAACGGTTTTATTTTTGTTGTTAAAAAAAAAACACATTAAAAATATCGATATGTAATGAGATTCTACTATAGTCCGCAATTTCTTTCGGTAAAAATCTCCAAATGAATAACATATGGGCCTAAAAATATGCAACGTTTCTAAGTAGGCGTTGTATATTTTTAGGTGCCAACCTTATTCATTTAGTGCTTTTAAGCTATTGAAATTTATTACAGTTCTTAAAAAACTGAAATTCCCGAGTTGGTTTTGAGGATTTGTTTCAATAATATTTACAAAAATCCCTCAATAAAATCGGTTTTCTCTCTTCTACAGTGCTGCTCGATGGAGACGACCTGCGAGTCAATGTCCGTGATCGCCGCTACCCTCGCGAACGGTGGCATCTGTCCTACCACCGAGGAGAAGGTACTACGTCCCGAAGTCGTACGAGATGTGCTTTCCATAATGCATTCGTGCGGCACTTATGACTACTCCGGCCAATTCGCCTTCAAAGTGGGTCTACCCGCTAAATCTGGTGTCTCCGGCGGCATGATGTTAGTCATACCGAATGTCATGGGCATTTTTACATGGTCACCGCCACTTGACAAGCTGGGAAATAGTGTGCGTGGTGTTCAATTTTGTGAAGAGTTAGTTAGCGTCTTCAATTTCCATCGCTACGA